TTTCTGTCAGTGTGTGAATGTGAAGGCTTTTGTTACAATGAAATAACATACCAAGTTATAATCTAAGCATTTTTGACTCWGCAGCTAAAGAATGATCACTTATATTCTATTTTTTCACAGATGTTAACAAATGTTGTCTCCTGGATATTTCCTGAGTTCCGATTCAAGTGGCTTATTGATGAAACAAAAAGAAATCTTCCTTTAGAAATGGACTTTTTACATGAGGGTAGAAATGCTGAGAAAGTTTCTAAGATGTTTGCCAAWTGTAAATTTCTAAAGGTAAACTTATATATTGTGTACAGTTGTGTTATACTATATCTATTTTATTTTTATCTATTTTTTTAATTGTTTGAAGGTTAATTTATGCATTAATTCAATCTATTCAATCTATAAACTCCAGGGCCGGGTAGTTCAAAGCCCAATTAGTGTTAATCCAGGGTTAACTACATAGGTTTCTAAGAGTAAACCCAAGATTATCGTTAATCAGACTTTGAACAACCCGGCCCAGGGCTCAAAATAAGGGCAGGTCAAACAACAATTATTTTGAGCCCTGCAATCGCATTGAAAATTCTTGCATTTTAACAAGGTTCCTCAAGTAGTATGGAAGCTTTCAACTAAACGTGTTCTCATRATGGAATTTTGTGAAGGAGGCCAAGTTGATGATCTGGAATACATGCAAAGGAATGGCATCTCTTCTGATGAGGTACCTACATGTATTTTATTGTTTGTATTAGGAGTGCTTATAGTGCCATAGTCAGTATGCTGAAGGAATAATGGTTTGCAGTCTACCCAAGGCATCCAAAAACACGTCTTCGAAAAACAAATTTATATTCTTATGGAGTGCTTGAAAAATCCTGGATAACTATTGCATATTCGCAGCTTTTTTTATTTAAAAATCCAATTATTGCTCAAAGCACAAAATATCAAAGATGCCATGATTTTTCAAAAAGATTTTTTAATGTTAATAACAGTAATCATTTGATGATTTATAGCTCCTGTCATAGCATGATTTTTTGCTAAATTTGGGGTTTCACTATAAATTATTATTTGCTTGTTTATAAAACATCAAAGTTATATAAACCTTTCTTTTAATAATAATAATTAATAATAATAATAATTTATTTCTTAAACGCATTATACAGGTGTCTCAATGCTTTTACAATATAAGAATCAAGAAATTTATAAAAAATAATAGATCGCCAAAAGTGAGGGTAACGCGGAGCACGAAGGAAGGACGTCCATCAGCCGTAGGTGATGGCAACGTTTTGGCGCCAAATGCTAATCACAACTTGACTTCTTTCATACATATTTGCAGAAAAACATTTAACAGTTGATCCTTATAGAAATAAGCAAGGCTTATAATAGCAGTATTCGGCAAAGCATTTGGTCATGATCTTTCGATTCATGTGGGTGGCTCCTAAAAGAGCCGTTGTTTTGTAAGCAAACAGAAAACTGTTTACTTGCTGCTGGTGTACTTGGTGACGGCCTTGGTGCCTTCACTGACGGCGTGCTTGGCTAATTCACCGGGAAGAAGAAGACGAACAGCGGTCTGAATCTCACGAGATGTGATGGTTGACTTCTTGTTGTAGTGAGCGAGGCGGGAAGCTTCACCAGCGATGCGCTCGAAGACATCCTGAACAAACGAGTTCATGATGGACATGGCTTTGCTTGAAATACCAGTGTCGGGATGGACTTGTTTCATGACTTTGTAGATGTAGATGGAGTAGGTTTCCTTTCTTCTTCGTGACCTCTTCTTCTTGTCACCAAGCGCGGCCTTCTTGCCGGCTTTCTTTTCACCTTTCTTTCCTCCAGCGGGTTTTGGCGGCATTTTCTTGTTAGCTACTTTGTAGATTATCACAATCAAATGATGGTGACTCTCAGGGAAAACTCGTACTTATATGTAATTCTGATAGGATTAATTATTATGCGGATCACCAATACACAAACATGATTGGTGGAAATAACATGCAAATGATCTTCATTCAAACTAAATGACCTTTGCTCATCAGATCTGGTTTTTGATTGGTGGATTTCGATCCTATTCAATTCAAGCTCTCGGTATAAAACCCTTGAGCAAACTTTTCTGTCATTCTATTTTGAACTATCATTCAAAAGATAACTGCAAGTCAAAATGTCTGGCCGTGGAAAAGGTAAAGCTAAGGGCACCAAGTCCAAGACTCGATCATCCCGTGCAGGGCTTCAGTTCCCAGTCGGTCGTATCCATCGTCATCTCCGCAAAGGCAACTACGCTGCGAGAGTTGGTGCTGGTGCTCCAGTCTACTTGGCTGCTGTTCTCGAGTATTTGAGCGCCGAAATTCTCGAGTTGGCCGGCAACGCTGCCCGTGACAACAAGAAGACCAGAATCATCCCYCGTCACTTGCAGTTGGCTGTCAGAAATGACGAGGAGTTGAACAAACTTCTTGGTGGTGTCACCATTGCTCAAGGTGGTGTTCTTCCMAACATCCARGCCGTCCTTTTACCTAAGAAGGCTGAGAAGAAATCATCTTAAGCAGTTTACTGCTAAACAAAACAACGGCTCTTTTAGGAGCCACCACATGAATCGAAAGATCATGACCAAATGCTTTGATTGATG